CCTCTACTGCACTGCTTCTCAATTGGATCATTGGCCTCTACACATCCAGGCACAACATCTCTCTCTTCTCTGTTACTGAGCTGACTTTCGCTTGTCTCAGAGTCCCTGTCTGACTATTTCCCCATGAGCATGCGAGCCCTTGGAAGGCAAGGACTGATCTCAGGCGGATCTGCGTGTTTCCCACTGCACAGCATATATACAGTTTGGCACAGGGAAGGTGTTCAGTGCATGTTCAGTTGAATGGAACTAAACCAGGGTCAGAATGGCAGGCAGGGAAGAGAAGAGACTGGAGCTAGACAGGACGGCATTGAACGCCACCTCACTGAGTAAGTGCGAAACAACATTCACCCTTTCTGGGCCTCAATGAGCTCATCTATAAAATGGGGACAATTGAACTGATTCAGAACGTTGTAGGTGTTTGCTAAATGCTAGGTAGAGGGCAGGACCAAGAGCAAAAGGCTTTGCCTCCCTCTCTTCTCCAATTTTCACCTGAGCTGGTCCACTAATTATAAAAAAGAAAATTCTGACCCAACGTCGGAAACTGAGAAGAGGTCTCCCCGCCCCCCGCCCAATATGGAATGAAACTTTCACGTTGTACGTACTGATGACACATGAAAGAGTGATGTGGAAAGTGCAGTTCACTGGTCTGCTCTCTTGCTATTAGCTGCCAGGCCTGGATGGAGTTCATCAATCAGCCTGTCCCATTCTTAGCAATCAGAGAAAAAATGCTGCGAGATGTCCCCTGTGTTCAAGGGCAGGGTCTGATTGCCAGCCCACTCTTGTCATGCACATCCACGAAGGGCCTACATTCCAGCTTGGACCTGCCCATGAGTCAGCCTGGCCACTGATCCCTGTAGTTACCCACTGTCCCTCCTGGGCACTCCCGGAAGGTTACTACCCTTGCTCAGTTTGCTGGACTGAGGTTGACCATAGATCTCTCTGGTTACTTCCAACGCTGGGGCAGAGTGGGAAGAGGTATCTGCAAGCTTTCTCTTGCCTGTGCCCTGGCAATAACCTTAGAGACTGGCCTGTGGGCTATCCCACATCCTCTCCCATTTGGCACACCCAAAGGGAAGACTGCTTGACATATATTTCCGCCAATAGCTTGGCACCTGCCACCAGTGACTCTAAGGGGTGACCTATAACTTGCTTTGCTCAGGGGAATGCGCCATCTGGGTAAAACAAACAACCACCTATCCAGCTCCTGGAGGGGGCACTCATCACTTGTTTGTTATGGTATGTTAGCTTAATCCTCAGAGCAAACCTAGGTGGTGGGTACTATTTTTAACCACTATTTTCCAGATACAGTACTGAGGTGCCTGCTTGAAGAGTTTCCTAAGCTACGTAGCTAGGAAGACTGGCAGGTCGTCTGGTGCCACAGCCCAGGTCTTAGCTAGGGCTCGATAGTGAATGACATTCAAAACTAGGATGCGAAGAGAATAAGCTCTTCAAAGGAATCCAGCTGAAGAGTCAGACCGAATGGTCCAATTGCAAAATGCAGTTAATGCAGGGGAAGAACAGAATATGTTGTAAAACAAAACATGAATAATATTCTCAGAGAGACGCAAGATGATGATACATTGATAAAATAAAAGTAGGCTGTCGAGAGGGATCTGAAAACAAAAAGATGCAGCTTCCTTAGACAGAAACCAAAACAAAAACATTTCCAAAACAAAGAAGAAGAAATAACAGGGTAAATACTGTTGAAAATGGAATTAATAAAAACACATGATCACTGGCAGAATAAAAATAGGATATAGAACTTTCAAATCACTATAGAAAAAAGTCAATTAAGTCAAGTCAGCTAATAATAGGAAGAGGTGAAAATAAAGGAAAGCAATAAAAAAGCATACATTGGTTTGAAAGAAAGCATAGTACATTTGATGTAAAAGAAATATATGAAACTCTGAACTCTTCACTTTCTTCAAAAATTCATAGAACATATATAAATGTCTAACCATTATGCTGTATACCCAAAACTAATATAAAATACTGAATGTCAACTCTAACGGAAAAATAAAAACAATAAAAAAGATCATAGAGAATATATAACCACTTAGTAACTTTTAAAAAATCCTTAAATACTCAACTTACAATGAAATCTAAACTGAAATATAGACTATTTGGAAATGAACCCAATTGAACACTCTATATGAAAAAAATAAATTCCCCCAAAGAAAAATATAGAAGAAACTTGAAGCAGTAAAGACAATTGAGTATCGTTTTGTCCATCAAACTGCTAAACACTGACAGGACTGGCAATGCCTAGTGATGCTGTGTGGGGAAGCAGGCTTTTGCTGGATGTATAAATCGTTGCAATATCTGGAGGGAAATTTGAAGTCCTGTATAGAAATTTGTCTTCTAAGAATACATCTTAAGAAAATAATTGGACAACTGTTTAAAGATTCATGTATAGGGATGTTTACTGGAGTGAAAAACTGAAAATATTCACTTTATCAATAGGGGAGTAGTTAAATAAATTATGGTTGTACATATAATAGAATTCCCTGTAGCCATCAAACAGAATGAGGCAGATTTTATATACTGACATAATAAGATGATGATATATGGTTAAATACTAAAACAAAAAGCAAGTTAGTGAGCCCTGCACAGAGATGATCGTGCTTTAGAAAGCACGTGTGTTGCGTTTGCTTTATGTGATTCTGGCATACAAAGTAGAATGAATATCAATGGTGTAGGGAGGAAAACAGAGTAAGATTATGGGGACCTCTGATTTCTACTTTATAAACTTCTTTATTGTTTGTATTTTGAATTTTTAAAAATAAGTATTTTTTTAAAAAGACTAGTTTTTATAAAAAATTCTATAGATATTCACATTTCAAAAATAATAACTACATCTCACTCTGAATAAGGACTCAAACACAAAGGGGGCTTTTTGTGTTTGTTTAAATTCAGTCTAATTATGAATTCCCTTAACTTTGCTGCTGGTTATTCAAGCGAGGGGTCTGTGGGGAGGGTGAGGGAGAAAGGAAAGGTGGGGAGACGGGGAGAGATTGATAGAGGGAGAAAGAAAGGAGAGGGAGGAAGGGAGAGAGACAGAAAGACAGAGACAGAGAGAGAGAGAAGTAGGGGGAGCGGGAAGAAAGGAGAGGTGGAGAGGAGAGGGAGGGAGAGGGAAGGAGAGAGAGAGAGAGCTCCGCTTCCACCTTCTGCAGCTCTCACTGCAGCCGGGAAACCCTCCTCTGCTCACTTGGCATTAGCTCTTTTGAGGCTGTGTGGCTCCAAGGAGCCTTCCGGATGGAGGGCTGAAGCACCTTTACCTTCTTCCTGCTATTCCTCTTCTTGGAGTCCTCACACACGCTCTCAGCGTGCTCCATGACTCTACGGTTCTTGCTATGTCACCCAGGAGAGGACATTTCTAGTATCTGTTTTGATCTTCTCTTCCTGACAGCTAGGAAGGGATGCTCCGGTCTACCCCATGCACCCACTGTCCTGTCCCATAAATAACAGTCCTCGCTCCTGCCCAGTAATCCTGTCATTGATTTCTTGTGCTCTCTCGGTCGGCTGCTCCTATCTGCTCTGCTGTCCTGCAACCCTTGTCTTAACCCTTAATTCCAGGAAATTAATGCTGCATGTCTTGGGTATGCTAATGTTGCTATGTCGTGGAGGGGAGTAGCTTTCTCTTTAGAAGATGAACATGAAAGCACCAGGGAATGAAGTGTCATGATTTCCACAATGTATTTTTGAGTGATTCGAAAAAAAAAAAAAAAAAGACAAAAAGAAAAGAAAAAAGAGAGAAAGCAGATGTGATAAAATATTCACAACGGTTGAGTCTAGCTGGTAGGTATACGGGTCCTATCAACTTTTCTATATATTTTACATAGAGTATGTTACACAAAAAATTGGAGAAACAGAAGAAACCTCAATTTCCGTGTTTACTGAGTGAGACCAGCTGGTGTGACTGCTTAAACGTCTCCTGAATTTGTCTGTTCTTCCCTGTCCCCACCGCCCCTGGTTGGGCTCAGGCCTCCTCAGCCCCTCCACACTCTGGAGGCGATCTCCTCACTGGCTCCCAGATCCAGTCAACCTGTTCTCCACTGGGCTGCCAGGACGGGTCCAAACCCAGCATCACATCCCCCAAGGCCCTTCATGCTCTGGTTACAGCCGGCTCCACCAGCTTCATCTCCCACTTCCACTCGCCCCTCCACCCTGCCCGCCTTGTCCCCACCACCAAACCACAGGTGATGCTCCTGCCATGCGGTCCCATTTCCAGCTCCTTGAGCCTGGCCATCCAGGGTCAGCTCCTCTGCCTGTTTGTTATTAGGGGCTTACTATTACTATTAATAGGGCTATTGTGAAGAGTTAATAAGACAATATGTGTGCCAGGCCCTGTCTTCTCTGATTCCTTGGAACTCCAATAAGTAATTCCTGTTGGTCAGGTGCTTATATGGAAAGACACTGCTGGCCTTTTGTAATTATTCCCTCCACCACCCTAAACCGTAAGCAATCTGGGCTCAAACAGCTCTAAGCTGACTCTTACTACTGTAAGACAACTGCAGAACCATTGTTTCACAGAACCATTATTAAATATTTACTATGTTCCAAGTACTATGCAATATCTCATTTAAGTGGTTTATCCTGAGAAGCTGGTATTATAAACCATAATCCAGAAGGAGACAGTAATACTCAGAGAGGATAAAGAACTTACCCAAGGTCCTGTAAACAGTAAAGGGCGGGGCTGGGATTCAAACTGGGGCCCATATGATTTCAAGTCCATGACCTCTGCTACTCTGCTGTAACTGTGCCAGCTAGGCAACAGAGTTGTCTGAACTTGGATTGCAGCCCTGTGAGGCTGAAATTAGCCTTTCCAGGTTTTCTATGGGCCCCAGCCCACGCCTGGGGTCACAACAACCACTGTTGATCACAGAGGCCTCCAGGCGAGGTGGGCGGGACCAGCTGCTAGCTGGGTGATCTGGTGATGATGCTGGAGATGACTCCCCTGAACTGGCGCTGATTACTTTGCCGGCCCTGACACTTACCCAATGGTGCAGCCGGCGTCAGCCTCGATGGTCCAGATGCAGTTGAGATTGTGTTCGTAAGGAGCTGGATACCCAGGTGATAGCACCTGCCCCGACACCTCTCCTTTCACTGTCCCTCCACACTCAGCTGAAAAAAATCCCAAAAGAGTGAGCTTCATGGGGTGGCCTTCGCTGCCAGCCAAGACTTGGTGGCTCCTCTTGACTGTGTCCCTGTGTCCCTCTCATTCATTCCAGGTGACTGAGCACAGGATATAGAAGGTCCCTGGATGAGTCTTGTATCCAGAATCTACAAAGATTTCCTACAACTCAATAGCGAAAAGACCAGCAATCCAATTAAAAAATGGCCAAAGGATCTGAATAGGCATTTCTGCAAAGAAGGTACAAACACAAAAAAATGGCTAATGAGCATATGAAGAGGTATTTATCATCATCAGTCATTAGGGGGCTGCAAATGAAAATCACAATGAGATACCATTTCATATCCACGAGGATGGCTAAACTAAAAAAGACTGACACTAACAAGTGTAGGTGAGGATGTGGAGAAACTGGAAACTCTCATTCGTGGCTGGTGGAAATAAAAAATGGCACAGCCTCTTTGGAAAACAGTTTCAAAATTCCTCAAGATGTTCAACATAGTTAGCCTATGACCCCAGCAATTCTGCTCTTAGTTATCTACCCAAGAGAAATGAAAACATACGTTCACAGAAAAATGTGTAATGAATGATCACCGTAGCATTATTCATAATCACCGCCAAATGGAAACAACCCACATGTCCATCAACTGATGAATGGATAAACAAATGTGATATATTCACACTGTGCATGAAAAGATGTGTAACAAGCTATTATCATGACTATCTCCTTCATGAGACTATAAGCTCCTTGGCAGCATAGACCTTGTCTTACTCAAATTTGCACATCAAGTGCCTAGAGTAGTGTTTGGCACATTATAGATGTTTTAATAAATATTTATTGAATGAGTAAATGGGTGGATGACTGAGAAAAGCTTGTTTCCAAGGCGAATCACTAGAAAGGTCTGAATCAAGGGAGCATGAGTGAAAATGAAGAGGAGGAGATTTATTGCAAAGTTTTTTTGGAAAAGGGAGTGATTGATGAACAAGTCGGTGGAAGTAATAGAAGGTAGGATCAAAGTCACAAATGGAAGAATGACCTTCACCTGTTGCTACAAAGGACCGATAAGCATCTTTTGGGCCCCATGGCTTGACATGAGACCACTAAGGCATGGTGGAGAGAGGGGTTCTCTGCCAGTAAGCCTGCTCATGAGACCAGACCCTTTGCTCTAGGTCCACTGTGAGTCTTCCCTCTATGGGGCTTTTGGGATGGGAGATGCCAACCTGATTGAAAGACACAGGGCCGAGCGGGCCCATGGCAGGGAGCAGAGTGTGGGTGAGAGGATGAACTATAAATTGTGGGGAGAAAGCCTGTTTGGCCCCACAAATAGAGGAGATATCTAGAAAGGTGATAGGACACTACCGTTGTCCTTGGCTAGAGCTGCCTTCCATATTCCAGATGGAGAAACCTGTCCTGCTTTCCAGAAAGTGAGTGTTTAAAGGAGCACTTCCTCAAGGACACACTGCTTCTTTCCTCATGGATCACTTTATCTGAGGACTGGCAGGTAGGCGGGAGGGGCCAAGTGGCCAGCCTGTAGCAGATTCACTGGTAAGACCATAAGAAGCCACTCTTTCTGGTGCTCTCCCTTTTTTCCAACCGAGAGCCTTGGCTGTTTTCTCTGGGCTGTAGCATGCACTCATCAATGAAGAAAACATCTGGATGTTTTAAGTTACAATAGTCATTTCTGGCAGGCCGTGATAAAGTCTACAACAACGTGACATATTTAAAAATATACACGCGTAATCCCAAGTACACAGCCTCACTCCCCTAAGTGAGGACTGAGAGAATCTCAGTGGGAAAGGCCTGAATTTCAGAGTATAAATATTCTTACTAGTACTGCTTGAGTGGATCCCCGAAGTTCAGTCCAACTGGCAAATTTGATATTCAAAAGAACCTTACCCTGAATCCTTTCTGCAAAGCAAATAATTGTCTTATAATGTGAACCATCATCTCTCCTTCACATTTCGCTTGCTCTGGCTTGCCTATCGCATTATACGGTTGTCTGTTTCTGCATGTGTCTCCCTCACTGGTCTGGGATCTGCTTTCCTCTGTATTCCCAGGGCCTGGCACAGGCCTGGCACAGGCCTGGCACATGAATGAAAGAAGGGGATAAAAAAGGATGCAGGGAGAAAGGGATGGGGCATGATCGCAGACTGAATCGATCTTAAACACAAAGAGAGAGGTAGACTCTGGAGGCTACTTGGAGCCTACTACCCTGGTCTGCCCATTTTCAGACGTAAAGTCCTTGCTTTTAGACACTCTGTTGTGTAAGTGTTGACGATCCTACTAAAATGTAGTTGTCCAGAGGAAAAGAATATTGGCCGTTAACATTTCCCACCATCCTGGTTCACACCTTCAGCCCTTGCACATGCTCAGGCTAGAATGATCACCTCCCTACCTCACTTTCCCGGTGGTGAATTCTTACCCATCCTTTCAAGTTTCAATTGAAATATCACCTCCTGTGCAAAACTTTCTCATATTCCCCTAACACTTTGCACATACTTCTTTTTACAGTGCTTATCTTGTATTATCAATGATCTGTTTCAGTGTCTATTCTCCTTGCTAGAGTATGGGCTCCCTAAGGGCGGGGAAAATACTTTTTTCTTTTTGTATTTCTCTTCTTCTGCACATACCGAAACATAGACGCACCAAGTCTGGCATATAGCGCTGGGTAGGCACTTAAATGTTTTCCCAGTGTTTGTTTTGTTCTTAAAAGATTAGCCAGTGCTGCACAGACACGTGGAGGTTGTGGGATGTGGGGAAGGGATGGAGAGAGGGGAAGGCTTGGTGTTTGGGGATGGGGAAGCAGGACTAAGTGGTGTTGTGGGGATCCAGATCAACAGGGAAGGTGACACGTGCAGCGAGGTGGGTGGTGAGAAATGAAAGGCCAGACAGACAGAATGACAGGTGCTGCCTATTTCACATTTCTGCCTCGGACCCGATTTCTCTTGTCCTGTGACACACAGATAAAGCTTCCAGAGAGCCTCTGCTGATATTCTGGAAGCACCACAGGCTTAAGAAGATGCCAGCTCATGATCTTACTCTTTCTTTCAACATTTCCTCAGAAAAGGGAGCATGAGCTCCATTTTGCCTATAGAGAAACTGAGGACCAGAGTGAGTTGGAGACTCATCTGAGTCTTGGTGTTGCAGGAACCTCTGGCACCCAGCCAAAAGCTCCACCTCTCCCTTTCTAACTCACTCTGCTACCTCTTCTCTCTCACCAGCGTTGCAATTCTGAGGGCATGACTTGGCTTTGGCCCCACTTGCTAAGTGTGTGACAACGGCAAGCGAGAGGACTCCTACCGACACAGGTGGGGAGAGGCCGGTCCCAGGTTCTGCGTTCTCCGCTCAGACACAGCAGTTCCTCACTGCCCCGCAGGCTGTATCCAGGGTCACAGCTGAAGGACACAGAGCTCCCTGCAAAATGGCCTCCGTCATGAACCTTATAGCCAAACTGGGGAGTTCCTGGGTCCTCACATTTGATGAGTTCAAAACCTGGTGAAGAGAGAAGAGATAGGGTGAGCAAGACTATGAATCCATACTCGCTCAAAAACCATTTCCTGCAGGAAGCTGACTGGCACATGCCTCTAGGTACTGAGGGACTCACTGCTCGGGGGCTGCCATATTACTATGCTCAGGTGAGGGTGGATTACAGAGTATGTGTTCCCCTGTCGCTATATGTAAATGATTTGTTATTTCTCCCAGGACAGCTTTTAACAGTTTTCAGGCCTAGAGTTGGAATTTTCTATTTCTTTTGTTTGACCCTATAGCATTTTGCTAGTGGGAGCTGTTCTTTCAATTTTGCTCACCGAGATATTCTGATGGGATAATGTAATATGGAAAAATCACTTTAAATGTATGTTTCAAACCTCAATTATGTCCTGCTTAAATACACTCTATTTAAAAAGGCCGGAGAAGGAAACCTCTGCAGAGCTTATATAGAGCTTCTACTCGATGGTGCCTCGCATGTGTTATCTCTCATTTGTTATTCACAGGAGTCTTATAGGGAGGTATAATTACCTGCATTTTACAACTGAGAACATTGACTTAGAAAGGTTAAGTAAATTGTTCCAAAGTCACACAATCTCAGATGATAGAAATGGAATTTGAATAAGACTCTATTTAATCTTCTTCTACTGATCCGCCTGCTGTAACAGGCGCAGACCTCCTCTGCCAGACGGCCTGGAGCCCATGAGAAAGGGATCTTGAGAAGACACATTGAATTTGTTTTCTCTAACAGATTTACTGAGAAATAATTCACATACTAAACAGTCACCCATCTGAAGTATACAATTCAGTGTCTTTAGTACATTCACAGAGTTATGCACCTATTAAGATAATCAACGTCAGGACATTTTCATCTCCTTGAAAAGAAACCCCATCCACGTTTTCCCCAAACCCCCTCAGCCCTAGGCAACCACCAGTTTTCTTTCTGTCTCTATGGACCTGCCACTTCTTGACAGTTCATATAAATGGATCATATAATATGTGGCCTTTGGTGACTGGCTACGTTCTCTTAGCGTAATGTTTCCAAGGTTCATTCATGCTGAAGCATGTAGCAAAACTCCATCCTTTTTTTATGGCCAAATAATATGCCATCGTATAGATGAACAAAACACGTTTTGTTTATCCATTCATCAGTTGATGGGTACTCACTGTATGTTAAAATAGTTTATAAAAGCACAGGTTTTTTTTGTTTTTTTTTGTTTTTGGTATCTACTGGGTAATTAGAAGATCAAATAAATATAAATGGTGGTGACACTAAAGAATGGGGATGTCATCCTAAGTACACCAGGGGGCTGCATACAAGCCTGGGTGCTTTCTGTTTTCAAAATCCCAGGAGTAAAGGAGAAAGTTAAAACCATGAAAAAAGAGGGAAAGCATCAAGACTCAACTCTTTTGGGAGTAGTAAAATCGAACATAATTAAACATTAGTGTTTGCATTCTTTACATCTGGCTGGAGCTGAATATTGTTCTATAAATGCCATGATTAGCAAAGGCTATCTTTGGTGGCTTTAATTAAAAGGCTCAGCATTTATAATTTTTAAAGTATTAGTGAGTAAAAGGTATGCTCTCAGTTCAGCTAACCACAAGTTTAAACCACAGAGCTATGTGCCAAGTGGCAGCTTATCTAAATCACAGGCACAATGCATGAGGGGAAACGACCGGCTAAGCATGCGTCAGTTAGAGAAAACCAAACCGACTTGGTGATGGACGATGTCCCAGAGCCCCAGCTTCCCTGTTTGTGGAACTAGGGAAAGCCTGACTTATCATCCACTGAGATGCAAGAAAGACTTACTGGAAAAATGCAGCTCAAAGCCCTTGCTGGTGTTTTCGGCGTCAGTGATGAAATCAAGCCACAAACTGCTGGACGTGCTGTTCAAGGTCACCCCCAGCATCTCAGAGCGGCTGAACACCCCCAGTAAGCGGGCCGAGTTGTTGTTGCCATCATAGACCTGAGCATGGGAGAGACCCCAACCCAATGTCGTCAGCATGGCCTTATTTCAGATCACAGCTTCTCACCCTACAGCTCCCACATTCCCCGAGTTTAGCACTGATAACTGTTAGAGTCAGCGAGTCATCAGATGCAAAGAAGATGGCAGAGTGGAGCCAGCATCTGAGTGAGTTTTTGGCCCTTCTTGTCTCCACTTGGTGCCCAGCCAATCTGAGTGTGAATCCAGTCTCTAGAAACTGGTTGCTATTCTGACCTTTCTAGTGGAGATCTGCTCTTGTTCCCTAGACTCCCATATGGCATTGGCTTATTCTTCTGCAGCCTGGGGAGGCCAGGTTAGGGCTGTCTGGCTGCCCAAGCCATCTGCTTCTGCACACAGGCATGCTGAAAGAATTCAGCATCTCTGCATCGCTAAACACTCAATCCTGTCCTTCCAGGAGATGAGACAACCATCCTCCTGCTTGACCCCACCTCGCTGTGGCAGTGGCCTCAGTCTTGACCACTCTGCTGGATATGGCCTCTGGGATCCAGTTAAGGTGAAGGTAAGATGATCAGCACATCATGATGCCCTTCCCTTCCTCAAACTCAGCCTCTTCCCTTGCCTTCTAAAAGAAGGGCTCCAGAGAGGGTCTGCTGGGCTTGCCAGGGGTGGAATCGTGCAGGCATCTGGCTTCCCTGACTCCCATCTGTGCCCTGAACTTCTGAGCATCAGCAAAGTCAACAATCATCAGAATAATGAACTGGCTCCCCAGGTTTTGAGGTTGCTGCTCCTTCCCAGATAATTGTACAAATAACAACAGAAGTTGTGATTGAGTGAAGGACCCCCTGGTGCTTTGGTAAATATCAAAGATAGGATCTATGGGTGGGTGATGAATATTTGTGCATGGCACAGGATGTGGTGCCAGCTGCCAGCAAATTGGAACAATATTTCCATTCTACTATTTATGAAGCAAAGCTTTCTAAAAGAAGTCATCCTTCAAGCTAACAGTGCTGTATATTACAGAGATTTGTTTAGGCCCCCGGGAGACTCAAGTCTGTTTCCAGATCCTATGTGCAATTGTTTTGTATCACTGATAGACTGAGAGAATTCCAGAGTTCCAGCAGACATAGAGATGGCACCAGTTCAAAGAGTTTTAGCTCACTGCTGCATCGGTGTTGTTATAAGAATATTTTTACTCTCTAACACATCTATTGGAATTAATTGATTAAGGCATTAATCATCAGTGTTTGCTAACATCACAATAAGAGACAACGAGATATCATGTGCTTCTTGATGGAAGATACATCACTACCTATGGAGTCAATTTGCTGGAAAAAAAAAAAAAGAACAAAAGAACAAACAAACAAACCTGAATCAGATCAAGCCACTATAACTTACAGGAAATGTAGAGGACAGAGGAACATTGTGAAATGATACTCTGGGAATGTGGTCATCAGAATTCAGAATGTGAAAAATTCTACTAAACAAATGACCCAATCTCCCCAACAAATAAATTACAAGTGGGGGAAAAAAGAGATGGAGGTAGAAACCTATATAGATTAAAAACAACAAGAGCAACTAATTCAATATATATACTTTATTTGGATCCTAATTCAAATAAACTGCAAATTTAAAAAATATTGTGAGAGATAATCGGAAACTTGAATACTTGCTGGATAAATGACGGTATTAGGAAATTGTTGTTAATGAATAAAAGTGTAATGGGAACAGGATTTTTTCCTTAATTTCAAAGCATAATTCATTAAGAACAAAAAATGGTTCTTAATATGTCATTATGATAAAATATTTATTGCAGAAAACTTATAAAACAGAAAAACACAAAGAAAATAAAAGCAACTTAGCAACATTTTGGTGACTATCTCTCTAGGCTTTGTTCTATGCATATCTTTACTTATATATATTTACTTCCTTAATTTTTTATAATTCAAGATCAAACTATAGATGCTATATGGTAACTGTTCTTTCACTTAATATAATGTACATATCTTTCAAATCATCAAATATTCTTCCCTAACAGCTGCAGGAATTTCCATCATAAAATTAACCCAATCCCCTATGTAATTATTCATATATCACTGTTCAGCATGTGTGCCCTAGCACATAAGAGGCACTCAATAAATGAATGAAAAATAACTAAACCAATGTTTTCTTCCAGTACTTTTGTCCTTAAATCCACCTGGATTTATTTTGGCACATGATATAAGATAAAATTCTACCTTTTCTCCCTAGTTGGTTAGCCATTTAACTAAACCCTGTTTGTAAATATTTCATCTACCACCAATTTTAAATCTACCATCATTACATATACAGTTAAATAAATTTGGTTTTGGCAGATTTCTATTCTATTGCATTCATCTCTTTATTTATTCTGGTGTATGACCCATACTATTTTAATTACTGTAGCTTTTAAACACAAATATTTAGTAGGGCAAGTCCTCCCTCATTTGTCTTTTTCAACTTAAAAAAATATTTCCATATTTATTCTTCAAGACAAACTCAAGAATTTTTTCAAATTAAAAACAACTCTTCCCCCCCCCCTCCAAAAAACAACTAACTTGTGTAATTCTGATTAGCATTAAATGTATGAATTGATTAGAAGAAAAATATATTTCTATGACATTAAATCTTCCTATTCGTATACACAGTGTCTGGCTCCATTTAATCAAGTTGTCTTTTATGTCTCAGTAAAATTCTGTATTTATTCCTGGGTATTTTTATATTTTTGATTGCTTTTGGGAATTGGGTCTTTGCATACATTTATTTCCTAACAGACTATTGTTTGTCTAGAAGAAAATTGCTTTGATGGTCAGTCCATCACTATGTACAGGCGATGGGAATGTCTCCCCGAGAAATCCAGAAGAATATATGCACATCCATTACATCTCACCACTTTCTTTTTTTCCCCTTCTCTATTAGATGTTTTTTTTCCCCCAGCTTTGTTGAGGTATAACTGACAAATAAAAATTGTATATTATTAAGAAGTACAACTTGATGTTTTGATATACATATACCATTACATCTGGTATGACAGTCTGACAAGATGGCTGGCTTAAAAGAAATATTCTAAATGCACAGTTTTTACACACAGTGACAAACAATGTGAACATTCCCATGAATGCTGCTGCATGTCTTCTTGCACACATGCGTTTGACTTTCTCTAAGACATACATCTAGAATGGAAGAGTGGGGAAGGCACATTTTCAGCATTGTTGGATATTGCCAGATTGCTTTCTGAAGACCAATATCAGTTCAATCTCACTAACAACGCAAGACACTTTCCATTGCTTTTATAACCTCGCCAGCACTTAGTATTTTCAGGCAATCTATTTTTTTCCAACTTGATGGGTGCGAAAATAGTAAGTATCTCGTTTTAATGTGTCACTGATTATCATTGAGATTGAGCATCTTTTTGTATGTTTATCAAAAATTTTACTCTCCTCATCTGTGAATTGCCTGTTCACATCTTTTGTTCATGAACATGAAACCTCCCTGTATTTATTTTAATGTCCTTCAAAATAAAGTTTTATTTTCTCAATAAAGATTAGGTATATTTTTGTTAGGCTTACTCCTAGCTGTCCTGTAGTTTTGTTTCTATTATAAATGAGATCTTTTTTTTTCCTGATTATATTTTAATTGGTTGTAGAAACACCAGTAGCTTTGCTGAATTGTCTTATAGGTTCCGCAGTTGATTCTTTTGTATTTTCTGAATAAGAAGACATTTTATATATTCCTTTCTATTTTTTATTATTTCTTTTTTCTTCTTTTGTTTAGGGAGGTATAATTATAGTGGCTTGGAGCTGTGGTATACTGTCGAATACTATTGGTGACAGTAGAACTACTGGTCTTAGTCCTGCCTTTATGAGGATTCCTTAGGAAGTTTTGTCAGTAAGAACGTTCGCTGCTACTGATGTCAGTAGAAACTTTTTATCAGATTAAGAAAGTTCTGTCCATAGTTGTATGAGATATTTTTAAAAATCATAAATGTGTATTAAATTTCATTACCTGATGTTTTGGGGTACATTGGCAGGATCATGTATTTTTCTCTTCTATTTATAGAATATTATGTTGAGCCACATAAAGCTACCAAGATTCAGATTTGACCTATGAAATGGCAATTTCACAGGATTTGCCCAATAAATAGCATTATAAGCTTTTCTAATATTGACACATCCTTACATTTCTGTAATCAATCCCACTTAGTTTTGTTTTAATATACGGATAAATTCAATATATTGTATTTATGATTTTTAGATGTCTGGTCATAGGTGAGACTAGCCTAATAGCTTTTGTTCTTATGCTGTCTTTATTCAGTTTGATATCAATGTTTCCACTTGTTCCTCATTTAAATAAAATGAGTTGGGAGATGAATCCTAATTTTTCTTTTCTGAGACAGTTTGGTTATTTCAGGGGTTAACTGTTCCTTGAAGTTTTGTTAGCTTACCTGCAAAATAGTCTAGACCTGGGGCCTTTGAAAGAAGATATGGGAGAATTGCAGTTTATTGGTTTATTCATTTTTTCTTTGATGTTAGTACTTTTAACTATTAAAAATTCCATTTCATCTAAGCTTTCAGATATCTTATAGTTGTTCCTAAATATTTTCTTATTATTTTTATAATCTCTATTATATCTATGACTATGTTCCTTTTTTCATCCTTAATATTATATATTTGTGCCTTTATTCTTTAATCACTCTTGTAAGTTTGTCTATTTTATTAAAGTTTCAAAGAAACAGTTGGTTTTGTTGATAATTGCTATTTTTAATTTTTTAGTCATTTTGCCTTTCTCTTTAAAAGTATCTTTCTCCTACTTTTTTTGAATTAAATCTGTTACATTATTTCAAGCTACCTAAATCTTTATTTATTTTTAACCTAGATGATATGCCAGAGACTAACAGAGGTATATTAAAATCTTCCACGACACTGACTGTAACTTTATTAAAATTTTTTACATTTCTGCAGTTTTTATTTAATTTATTCATGCTATGTTATTTGGCACAAAAAGTTTTACTGTGGATTGATTGTACATTTTATTAATATAAAAGAATCCTCTTTTTCATTTCCTTATGAGATGTGGGAGAAACTCTCTAATTTATCTTATAATAAATTGATTTCATTTTTTGGTGGTTTACCATTTTCTGTCCGTTGCCTCCACTCCATTTTTTAATTGGGTGATCATGTTTTTCATCTCTATTCAATCTTTCCTCAACTCAGATTGCTCTGTTTTCATTATTGCCTATTTTTTTGCGTCAAATATATATTATTCTCTCAAATCTTGTTAAGAATACAAATTAGGAGACTTTAACATTTTTTTTTTCTTTGTTGCTTAGAGAGGGGCAGTTAGATCTAACTTCTCAGACAGGTCCCCTTCTTCTGATCTACTGAATATTTACACACACCCAGTTAATTTTCTTGTTGGCACACTATTTTCAAGGAAGAATAAAAACAGAGAAGGGAAATATTTAGTAGTCTCTAAGGGCGAGCAGAAGAGTCAAGCCAGAGAGGTCACAGCAGGAGTTTCTCCTGCTCCTGGTGCTAAAGTGTGTGTGTGTGTGTGTGTGTGTGTGTGTGTGTGTGTTGAGTACAGAATAATAAAGGAGAGAGAGAGAGAGAGAGAGAGAGAGAGACCATGCGAGCGATATCGTGGCAGCCTCTTCTCTAATGAGCCTGATCACTCATTTTTAGGCACCAGCCATGGCATTGCCCTGCTTTACCTGGCCCGTCAACAAAAGTCAAAGGAAATGCAGAATGTCATATTAAGAGAAACTGTGGCTCTGTGTGGTCTCTCAGACCTAGTATGCTTACTGAGGAGCTAGTGGGATTGAGATCTGGTCGCTACCAACTGTCCATTTAGAGAGAATCCTCAGGGATGAGGATTATTTAATGGTTTCTCTTTGGACATTCCAGAGTAATAACATCTGGTTATTTCTAATGTCAAGACTTCTCTGGCTACAGGGAATAAAACTATATTAGAATGAGCTAAGAAAAATGTCTTGGCCTCGGATAAAAATGGACAGACCCTGTGTGAAATTTTCCTTAAGATCCATTTTAATAAGGCAGCTCTTTGATAAATTCTACAGAGTAGACTCTTTGATTACACACATCACATGTGTTTAGAGACACACTTAATTACACACACAAAGAAATACAAGTCATGTATTCCCAGTGTCTTAACAACTTCCTCTCTATAACTCTCTATAATGTAAGTCCTACCATTTCTTTCTCTGACATATATATCTTGAATCTACTTTCTTTAACCCCACTGCCACACATAGGTCATCACCACGACACACTGAAGCTCCTGAAATAGCCTACTAGTGACAGAAACATATACTTAAAACATATATAAGTGTACACACACAATACACTGAGACAAGTATATACACAGATTCCCAAACAAAATAGATACAGATTCACACACATGTGTAAGCATATGTACAAAAGTATCTATATTCACAAACATATCTACACAAGTGCACACGTGTGCCACATATGAACATTCTGTGAGCTCTTCACAGAACAGTCAGCTCTTCAGGTTGATGGTCAGGGTTCCCAGTGGAAAACCTGATTTGTTGGCCACTACAGCTGAATTTATTATTATTATTATTATTATTAGGTAGTCAACCCATTCTCAATCCCGTATGTATTTGAGAGCAGTCAGTTCCTAAGCAAACTCTAAAGCCACATTCTTGGACACTCACATGCCTTTTTCTTTTAGGTTCTCACTTTCTCACAGATGAGTGAGAACAATACACTGGGACTCAGGACGGAAGACGAAAATGTGGGTCGTTCGCACAGAGACAAACAAACGAGTGAGTGCTGCCCTCACGTTTGCTTCTGTAACGAATATGCTCTAGGAACTCTGCTGGTGTTACCTTGAGGATATCTCCTTCAGAGAGCTCGAATGCCCTGGCTTTCAGCTGAATGCCCTTTCCCGGCTGGGTCTGGATGGAGTAGATGCACTCGTGGTTGTTACTGTAGTTCACAGGAAAGTTGGGAGACAGCAAAGTGCCCTGAGTGCCCGTGACTGAATTCCCACACTCGGCTGGAAAGAGAATCACAATAACCATAGATTAACCCCCATTAACTACATCCAGAAAACAACTCGCAGTGCTGGAGAACCTTACAAAGACAAGTCGTTTGCCTCCCTAGCAGCCAAAATGCCCAGTTATCTGTCCGTTTGTCTGCTCGTCTGTAGGACTGTTTATGAAAGTTTTTTTTTTTTTAGACACCTGCCCATCTATAGTTCTGCTTGGTTTCTTTCTCTCTCTCATTCCATTTGTCTGTCTCCTTCTGCAGAAACAGAAACAAACCCACCAGGAACCCTTCACTTTCACAGTATTATGAGGCAGCCATTCCCCACACCTGTTCATATAGTATCATAGCAACAGAAAGACCGAGGAGGATATCAGGGGAGGATGGTGCAGCCAAGTGAGGAGAGATGAAGCCTTTTGATATCGGAGGATAGAGGGGACAAGATCGAATAATAATTGCTAGTGTCTTCTGAGTTTTACAAAGACCATTTCAGTCATTAGTCACAACAAGCAGCTCCATAAGGTGGGCACAATTACCATCCCTGTTTTAAAGATAAAGAACCTGGTACTCTGCAATTTAGATCAAGTCTCTCAATTCATGAAGAGGAGGGGGCCGAGGGCCTCTTGGTCCTGGAATTTAGGGCCCCTGAGGTTCTGGGGAAAGTTTTAGCCCTGATCCATTAAAACCCAGTTTCTTGCAACGGCTAATGAATTCACGCCCTCCTCTCAAAACCTGTTTCCTCTCCTCCAGAATTAGTCATTCTTTCCACATTGTTCCCATAATCTTATTTATAGCAGTTACCACATTTTACTTGACTTATTTCTATCTTCTCCACTGCACTGAGAATCTTTTAGGGCTTGGTCATGTTTCTATGACCCCAGCACCCACTCAGTGCCTGGGCAGGGCGGCCATCAGCAGATGAAAGAAAAAGGGGAAGTAGAAAGTAGCTCAGTGGCAGGGCACATGCTGAAGAACCCTGAAGCTGGCTTTCTAGGGCCTTTAGTAATTGTGAAGCCTCTCCCTGTTCTTCTGTATCACAGCATCCTCAATATTGCACTCTGATTGCTTGCTACTTGCCTGTATTCCCCCATCCAAGCTGTGAGTTACTTGAGGGTTAAGGTCATGCTTAATGAATCTGTGAATCTCCGAGTCTTAGCTTGGAGCCTCTATAAAATAAATATTTGCCAAATGAATGAATGAATGAATATGGAGTGCACTGACCTTAGAAGATGTACACTCCTACATAATTAGGTTCTGGAAGGATGTTAAATACAAGTCCAGATGGCAGGCCCATTATTTGTCTGGACATATGGGGAGTTTGCAGCAAGTGTTGCATCTTTGAGGCTGATGTGGCAAGTCTGTTTTCTCTAAACCATCTCTCAGTGTCCCTCTTCTAGGCATAGTCCTTGGCTGGAAGCACCCTGAGGTCAAACAATGGGCCATGGATTTGACCACATATTCAACCCTAATTATCCTAACCCTGGAGTGTACTAGGCCAAATAGAGCAGGTGATACAGAAACATTCAGAGCTGAGCCTCTCGTGGGCTTAGCTATATCCTTGTGTGTTCTCTGGTCCCCAAGGATGCTCCTTAGACCTTTGAAGACAGTGGCCATGTTCTAACACCAAGTTTCAACTTTTCCAATGGGTCCTACACCCTGGGCTCTTTATAGTCCAGGACCAGCTTCAGTTTCCTAAGACTTTACATAAATCATTACAATGACTGAATGCTTGTGTTCCACCTCAAATTCATTTGCTGAAGCTCTAATCCCCAATGTGATGATATTTGGAGGTGAGGCCTTTGAGAGGTAATTAGGTTTAGATGAAGTCCTGAAGATAGAGCCCTCATGATGGGATTAGCGCCCTTATAAGCAAAGAGCCCAGAGCCTTCTGTGCCACGAGTGGATAGAGTAAAAAGGTTGCCATCTACAAACCCAGTCAGCGAGTCTGCCAGCACCTTGATCTCAGACTTCCCAGCCTCCAGAACTGTGAGAAATAAGTGTTTGTTGTTTGAGCCACCCAAGTGTCTTGGAGAAGAAATCTAGCTTTGTAGGACTCTAAACACAGCCTGTTTGCAAAGGGACCGAATGTGCATGATGAATGTGTGAGCTGGGGCATAAAATTTGACGAATAACAGTGGACAGATACCCCGGGGGCTGCTGCCAATTTAGGTAGATGTGTTTCTAGAGTGTGTAAATTTTCTAGGTGCCATCAGACGAGAGTGGAGACTTGGGGAGGGAGCGCTGAGGGCTGTGCACATTCAGACATTTATCACTGAGTCACATCACATGAGCAGCTCTCCAAAGCAGCTTCCATTATGTCTGGGGTCACACACCATTTCCTTCCATCTAGGGAAAGGCATGTGATGCGGTGAGATGAGCATGGAGTTTAGAGGCAGACAGAAAACTTATATCAACTCTCTGAACTCTGGTCTCTTCATCTGCACAACAATACCATCCTCATAAGACTACAGAGAATAAGTGCATGAGATCTGATGACAAAATAGGTGAACGAATGGGGAGTGGCTAGCACACGGTCGGCCCTCAACAAGTGGTATTCCTCCTCTCTCTCCTCATGGATCCCAAGTGCATCTATGCGGCGTATCTGCTTCCATCTGGAGCCCGGTTAGGCTGTGCTCTGGGCTCAGTGGGAAGCCTGAGAAGCTCCTAGGAAGCGTGTTAGGTGCCTGACATTCACAGCACCCTCGCCGTTCCGGATGCCTCTTGCTCTCTGCGTAGTTCCTAAAAGTTGGCTTCCCTGAAACACGGGCTTTGGCACATTACTGGATCCCCTTCCTGCCCCTGGTTTTCAGCACAACAGCTGTGTGCCTATCTCTGCCCCAAGCGTGGCCCTTTCCTTTTCCCCACATGCCCAAAGCCTGTATGAAGAGGGGAACAGAGTTGACAGCCTCAGATGGGGCTAATCCTTGGCCATCCACCAGGCCTTGGTGCCCTGCCACCAGGGAGGGTACAGGAGGGAAGAGGGACATGGTGCTCACTTCTGGAAGAGTTTCCAAAGCAACAAGGAAAGTGAGCAGATGCACCGAAAAGCCAGCCATAAGCATAAATGGAAACAAATAAATGCTCCAGAGAAACAAACAGTCATAAGCTCGGGAAAATGCTGCTCTGGTTCAGGCATCTGTGACTTCTGTTGTCCCCATCAGAAGAGGTCTCATTAAGGGCAGGGGCTGGTGTCTTCTCCATCATGCTGGGGCTCCCAAGGACAGGGCCATGTCTCCTGTGGCAGACTGAGTTCTCTGGGGTCAGGACTGTCTCTTCCACATCAAGTTCAGAGGTCCCTGAGGTCAGGGGCTGTGTCCTCCCATCACACCATAAATTAGAGCCCAGGGCTGTTCGTCTCCTTTGCAGCTGGGAATGTTCTTGGAAATGCTGTGTGGGCCAAGTCATTCAATTTATACCTCCAGTGCTTGTGGCAGCTGGGAGCCACACCCAGTGGGCAGTCCCATGATACCTCCAGCCCGAGGTTCTGTGGCAGGGCTCGGGGTAATTAGAGGTGATTATAATTGCTACACGTTATTAATAACATGTGAAATAGGAGACAATATAATAATGAAAATATTGTGAGGTGTCACGAACAAACAGTAATTGGAATAATAAGTTAAAGAATGAGCTTATGTAACGAGATCAATGAGGCAAGAGCTTAAGGAGTGTTGTACATCTGTGGTCCTAGATAATCCATTCAAGAAAAAATTTCCCCAGAACCACTTAGATGAAGACATTTTCCCACAGAAAAAAAGAGCTGCTAGCGGCCAGATACATAATGAATCTACAAGGGGGTAGAACGTGTGTATCCGAATGTGTGCCCCGGTCAGCGTGGGTGGACGCTCTGGGGGATGGTTACAGGGGAAAAGACAAACCCTAGGATTATTTACTTGGTCAAAAATGGAATTCTACATCTATTTGTCTTAATGTTTCCTCTCTGAAATTTTAAAAGGTTATTGGTTACTGGTCAATGACATATAACAATAAAACGGTTATTGGCAAAATGACGATAATTATAGAGTATCTCATGGTTTATGTAAATCATGCCATCTCTTCTGAAATCAAGCCCGTGAGGTGGATATTGTTATCGCCATTTTACAAATGAGGAAGCTGGGGCGGAGGGATTTGGTGGCGTCCAACATCTAATAGCTGGTAAACGGCAGAGCAGAAACCCAGCCTCGGGCTCGTGTGACTATGCAGCCTTGGTGTGAGCCCAGCCCATTTTGCCAGCTTGTTTACAGCTGTCCTCTGCAGAGCCACAGGGTTCCATGAAGTTGTCTCAGGCAAAGCTGGCCTCACAGGCCCTCAAGATGCTGGCCACGTGTCAGTCGGTGCAGCACTGCTTTGATCTGTTTGGTGTATTGAGATTTCATGTGCTATTTCATTTTACGCACAAGTTCCAAGGCTAACGGCCAGCATGGTAAGTACTCTGCTAATCCTGTATGTCTTCCATCCAACCGCATGTTGCAAGTACTGAGCAAGCAGAGCCGTCAACTTTGTAAATGAGGGACAGCCAGCAACTGTCCCCATTCCCTGCGACGCCATCCTATTTCTTCCCACCCTCCAGGCCTGGGGCTCTGAAGGGCCCGCTGTAGAGCTCTGGCGGGGTGGCTGACAGGGCCTTGCTTGGGTCAGAGGGCTGCTGGTTCTGATTCTCTAACCTCATCATATACTTGCTCCAGACTGGCCTCTGAGCTGTTCCTCAAACACTGAGCATCCTCATGGCTCAGGGCCTTGGCATTCTGTTCCCTCCTCTCCCAGATATCTGAGTGATTAGTTCCTTGAACTCCTTCTAATCTCTGCTAAACTGTCGACTCATTAGGGAGCCTTATGCTGACCACTCTTTATAAAAGAGCAACCCTACCTCCAGCACTTTCTATGCTGACTTAATTTTTCTCTATAACTCACAACATTGCCTGACAACACTACGTATCTTTGGGTTTACAGCCTGTCTCCTCCACCAGGATGCGAGACCATGAATGGACAGATTTTCTCTGTTTTGTTCCCCTTTGTATCCCCAGCCCTAGAAGCCTGCCTGACATGCAATGGGTGCTCTGCAAATAAACCCAACTCTTGCTTCCCTCTCTCTTCCCCAGCTGAATGGATGAAGTCTTTCTAGGGATTCTCAAAAGCTGGCACCCCCATCGAACTGGTAAAAGCACCCTCTACTCCACCAGACTGGGCTTCTCCACAGGCGCAGGTCATCCCTCCTTCCTATGGGTCCACCCTGTGCCCCACCCGGATTTCTCAGCGAGATGCATCCTAAGCCACAGGGATGTGTCGTAGGGGTGGGAGAGAAAAGTATGGAAGTCAATTTCATTTGAATGCCTACTGTGGATCCACTTTACAAAGGTCAGGTCAAGCTACGGAACAGCCCACGAAGCAGGTACTGCCACCCTCATGTTACGGACAAGGAGGCCACAGCAGAAAGAGGTTAGGCCATCCCAGGTCCCACTGCAGGTAACTGTGTGCTAAGGCAGTCCTCAAACCCAAGCCTGGTGGCCTCTTGGCCTGTGTGCATTCCACCGTCTCACACCAATTGACTAAAACTTGGCCCGCCCCAGTAGTGAAGCAAAATGAAAGCACGTGACCACCTACCAACACACCTTGGCAGAGGCGAACTCCACAGGCGCCGTCTGCCCCCCAGGCACGTGATACGGGCTGTGCCCTCCAGACGGTACCCGGGGAAGCAGGAGAAGGTCAAGGTGTCGCCTACGCCAAACTGCAAGCCCTTCCGGATGCTGTAGGCGGGGACCTCGGGCTCCTCACAGGGCTCCAAGTCATATTCTGCAAAGGCAGCAGGAGAGCCGGGGTCAGACACAGAAGGTGGGAACACACAGACAAAAACACCAGGGAGAAAAGTGCCAGAGATAAAAAGACAGAGCACAGGATACGCACACACTGATCCACAAAAGGAAGAACAGAGAGAGCACCCAAGAGACACGGTGGGGTGAGGAGCAGGCTGCGCTGGGCTTCGGGTGGTTTGAACACGCGCTGCTGTGAGCGGGGCTGGGGGAGGGCACGGTGCTTCTGGAAACACGCTTCCTGGAAGCATTCACGAGGTTCCTCATGACCTGACCCTTCCCTTCTCTGCGCCTTCACCTCCATATTAACCCCAAGCCTCAGGGATGGCAGACACTCCTGCCTTTCTCCCGAGCCACTGAACCGGATCGATCCAATCAGCCTGGTTCTAGAGGGTCAGAATGTATGACCCAGCCGAGGGCAACCTACACTGGGAAAAAGAATCTAAACGTTTCACTTGAAGCTATGTCTCGGTGATGCTGGCACTGGAGGCAGATGGCAAGCATGATGGAGTGAACTTTATGGGTGAGGAACCTGCCTGGTACCTCTAGTGACAGCATAGAAGTGACCATTCCTTGTTCCCAAAGGCATCTCCCTCTGAGACACAGTCCCCCAGGGCTCTGTGTGGTGAGGAGAAGGAAGATATCTCCCAGATGGATGAGGTACTGTGGCTGGCTATGTCCCATCTGGCAGGCCATCCCAGATACATGGCAGGTGGCTTCTGATAGAGAAACAGCATGGGGCTGAGCTGGGCCATGTCCCACTTCCTAGAGAGAGGCCAGATATCTCTTGCCCAACCCATCTGACATCTCTGCTCCTGTCTGGAGAGCAATGGGACGAAAGCAGTGGGGGGACTCGGTACTAGAGAGATGAAAGGTCCTCTTTTCTCCATGAATGCCAAATTAAAGAGTTTTCCTTTCAGGATGCTTGAACACAGAGATAAATATCTATTACTGCTAAATTAGCATTGATGAAGAAGCCCCGAATGAGATGAAAACCCTCTAATATGTTAACTTAAAACCCCCTTCTTTTTCTGGTAAATTTCTGGGGTTGTGAAATAGTGGAAGCGAGTGGGATCAGGAGAAGAATCTGGAGTTACTAGGGCAGGAAGGGACTTCTGCGAATCCCTCTAGTTTAACCAGTTGGGTAGGTCACGTTCAGAGGGAAACCTGAACACCTTCAGAGAAGATCCCTCAACAAACCTGCCAACTCCTTCCACGCCCATCAGAGGGAGGTTCGTCACTGTGTCTAACCCAGCTATCTTTTCCTGCAGCAGTGAGGTGATTCTCCCAGAGATTGGAGAATGGATCAATCTATCTGTTAGGAAGACCAGAGGCTGGCAGCGGAGAGAGAGAGACAGAGTGCCCTGCCCCCAAGGGACTCTCACAAGCTTTACCTGAGAAGGTGATGTTGAATCCTTCATAGGACATGGAGAAGTCAGAAATGAAGCGGACCTGGGCGGTGAAGTTGCCATAGAGCCCAGCGCTGATGGGGGCTGGCAACCGCGAGCCGGTCAGCTGCCTCAGGGGCTGGGTGAAGCTGCCATTCTCCGTGATGAGGAGGTAGTCATGGCCACTCTCCAGGTGGAAGGTGTGGAAAGTAAAGAACACACCTGCCAAGAGACCAGAAGGGTCAGCTGTAAGACAGAAGCTGCACAAACACTTTCCAGCTGTAACTGTCTATGGGTGTGCAGATTACAAGCATGCATTGCTGAATGCGTGTGGGTGAACCTGAATGAATGAACCTGAATGCACCGGATCACATTATTGCCCACAGGTCCGGTCAGGGAGAAGCACACCCCTTTACAGTTGTCAAAATTTGAAAGGTAGATTTGTAGCTAGTTCTATGACAATGCTTCATATCCTTTCATTCACTCATTCATTCATTCATTCATTCAACAATTCGTTTATTTGTCAAGTGCTCCCAATGGGTTAGGATCCAAGACCTGGTAGGTGCAAAGGGATATATAAGACATTAAACAAATATCTACAGTACAGAGTGACGTGCCATAGGGGCAGAATGAGAAGTGGTCTGCAGCAGGAAGAGGGGAGTGTAGGACAGCCTAACCAAGGAGTCTACATTTGATTTGGGCCTTAAAATGATGCGCAGGGATTAACCAGGTTAGGAGGGGAAAGGGCGTCCCAGGCAGGGGACTTGTGTGTGTAAAGGAGCTGTGGATTCAGGGGCTCAGTGAACTGCATGGTATGGCTGGACACGCTCAGCAGGACAAATCTGGGATAGAGCCTGGAAAGGCAGGCTGGGGCTAGGCTGGATATTTTCTGGGGAGCAATGAGAAGCCATCTCATCCAGAGTGGATCAGTTTTCAGATTTAGTAAGATGTTGATGGCTGTGAGGAGGATGAAGTGGGAGGAGAGGAGGCAGAGAACATTTAGAATGATGGCAGCCATGCACCGGGAGAGAGGGGATGGGGACTGGCAGAGGGGGCGAGAGCAGGAAATGGACACAAGACCTCAGGGCGGGAGAGTGGACAGGAATCATAGGCAGTGAATGCAAAGGAGAAATGAAAGGATGACTTGGAGCGTCTTGACCTGAAGGAAGGTGATGTCTTTTGTGACTCGGGGTAGGACGTACAGGAGGAAGAGATGCAGGTACTGGATAGGTAATGGACTTAGCTTTCAACACCCTGTGTTTTCAGCATCCAAGCAGTGACAGAGCTAGTGGATGACTGGGAGTATAGATTTGGGGTTCAGGATTAAGATCGAACTACAGCAGTAGATCTGGGAGACACGAGCAAACAGGTGCTATTTGAAGCCATGGCATGGAGAAGACCAGAGCAGGGCAGAGAGTCAGAGAAGGGGCAGAATAAAAACTTGGGGTGGAGTGGCATTAAAGAGACAGGGAGAAGGAGGAGTGAGAGGAAGAAAAAGAGAGGTGAGTGCTCCACTGAGGGGGAAGGGGTTCAGAGCACTAAATAAAAACAAAAACATTAACATTTGAGGGTTATATATTTGTGGGTTACTATCCTACATGTTTTAGTTGCTCTGTAATTGGCCCGTCATTTGGAAAGAAAGACATGAAAACTCTTTTAATCCTGCCAATAACCTTATGATGTGAATTATTTTCATCTCCATTTTACACCTGAGGAAACTGAGGCACAAAGAGATAAAGTCCTTCATCCAAGGTCACCTAGTTAGTAGGCAGTAGAGCTGAGATCAGAACTGAGGCGATCTGACTATAGAGGCTGTGCCGTAAACCACTACACAACACCGCTTCTCATGCTACAGAAAGTTAGCAGGGACTACAAGGGGTCGGGGGTGAGCAAGGTTATGGAGGATCTCAACACCTAAAGCAACTCTTGAACTTGGCTGGATGGCAGCTGTGTTCGGGTGTATATATGTGTAAATGAATGCCCACCCACAAGTGTGTATGCCCATGGGAATATACGCCATGGATGAGCTAGGGCAGGAACATGGGTACACTAGGGGTGCTGGACCCACTAGTTATTCAAAGTCCAGGGACCAGCAGCACAGGCATTGCCTGACAGCTTGTTAGAAATACAGAATCTCGGCCTCCATCACCACAGACCTTCTGAATCAGAATCTGCATGCTAACAAGATCCTCAGGTGATTTGTAGGCACAAAAAAGTTTGAGAAATAATCCTCTAGATAATTATTGACACATTTTTGATAAATGATGGTTAGAGCTAAGCTCTTAATGATACAGCGTTTTAGATGTTTTCATATTCTTGCCTCTCCATTGGTAGAAGCTGGTGATCTGGTGGTATTCGAGATTCTATGGGTGGGGGCTGAGGGAATAGAAGAGGTGGTGGGACCAGCTTATAAATGCCCTATGCCCAGGCAACTGAGATGCATCCAGTTATCTCTTTGCCCAAAGAAACATATCCTAAGCACCTACCAAGTGTCAGGCCTGTGCTAACAACTGAGAAAGATCCACCAGTTTACTGGAGGAGACAGACCACCAATGGTGAGAAGCCGGAGTTGGGGCACAGAGGACGACTGGGCAATTATGCCTTGAAGGTTGGGAAGGCTTCACAGGGCTCGCAGTCCTTGACATAATGGGCGTGAGCATGCTTGGAGACTTCTGGGTATGTGTGCTCGAATGTATTTTAAACACGTGTGCAAATGAGAAAACTGTTCTGTTCACAGAGCGTGGGAAAAGGCTCGGTGGGATATAGGTCCTTCCCCTCCCAGCTGAAATATGGGGCTGGGTGGAGACGGGGTCATACCCAGAAACAGAGGAAACAGTGTTGATGAAGCACTTTGCCTCACGCTCTATTCTTCTGCATGCAAATACAGCCCCTCCAAAGGAGAAAACGCTTGGCTTGGATTTTAAGGATGAGTAAACAACTGAGATGAAAACCCTGGGTTTCCCAGCCATGCTGACTGCTTAGGGCTCTTCTGGCCTTTGAGAGAAAATGAAGACATTGTCACAGAAACAGAGAGGCCCAGGGTTGGAGTGTGAATCCAGGTTTGGTGTGACACATGTACATACGAACAAATACTTCACTGGAGTGAACGATGTAGAATCGTACAAAGGACATGGATACCACACTGGAGCGGAAAGACAGGGCCGTGGGAAAGGCATGGGCTTTGGAGGGAGACAGACCTGGGTCAAAGCCCATCCACCTGCTGAAGCGTCTGGGCCAAAGCTGCTCAGCTCTCCCTGAGTTTGAGTTTCCTCAACTGTCATGTGTGGATGATAGTATCTCTCTCACAGGTGACATTTCATCCTTGGAGTGAGGAACAATTGGGATAGCATACGCAAAGCGCACAGCACAGTGCCTGGCACATAGTAGGTGTTTTCTTTGCTCAGCTTATCTAAACCCCAGTCTGGGGTCTTAGCAAGAGCACATTCTCTAGATGCCTGAATTGGCTGTTCCTTTAGGCTGGGTGTGTGGCAAGTTGAAAAATCTGAATTTCCCAGAGTTTTGAGTTTCTCCCGTTGTCTTTCTGCCATTAGGGACCAAACAGAGTCAGCAGCCTAACAGGTCTGTTAACCTGAGATACTCTTAGAAGCAGAGGCCTCTGGAGAAGGGTCACGGTTGAGTTTAATTCAATCATATAGATATTTCTTGAGTTCTTCATGAGCCAGAAGCTGGGGAAACTGCAAGAAACAAGGCAGACATGTCTCTCAAACTGCTTAGAATCTGTCGGGGAGACAGATGATGAAAATGCAAGGTCTGTAAGGTAAGGCAAAGTCTAGAATTAGGAAGGTACAGGACTATGTGGGAGTCCAAAGGAGGGGAGCCCAATCCAGATTCAAGGCTGGAGAGAGGGGATCAGGAAAGCTCATTAGAGAAAGCGAATTCAGAAGGAACTGGCCCAAAGCTGGCCACACAAGGAGAAGGAATAGTGAAGATGGTGCAGAGGAGGAAGTGCCACAGAAAGAAGAAAATCATTTCAACGCGCTAAGCTCTAGAGGACAAAGCAAGCCTGGGAAGTTCTGGGAACCGAAAGAAGTTAAACCTTGCTGCTTAGAAGGCTCAGAATGAGGCTGAGAAAGGGACTCACGGGCCATGCTAGCTACTTTACAATTTGAGGCTCTATGCTAGGGATTGATGAAGCCTTGAAATGTTTCTAAGGAGGAAGTGACCTGGTCACACATCAGTGATCTCTCACTGATACTCTGCCTGGAACACCTTTCATCTGGCTAATTCTTATTCAGCTTTGAAAACTGGCTTAAGTTCAACTCTAGGACACCTGTTTAACCTTTGAACGGGCCTCTGGACGTTTCCCCACCTCAATCTGCTCTCTCCCAGCATTGGAAGTAATATACGGAGAGATCTCTATCTGTTTGGCTGTCTATCTCTACCACTAGACTATAAACTTCCTGAGGGCACACGATGGCAGAGCGACCCGTTCTGCTGTGTTTTCCTAGCACCTAAAGTTAAGTGCAAGTATTAAATAAGTATTTGTTATATAGTTGTTGAAACGCATTGACTTCTAGGCAAAGACATACAAAGAAAGGCATAGAGAAACACATCTTTATAATTACAGAGGCCCAGACACCGAGGAAGTCATGACCATGGGGGCTGTCCATCTTGGGACTGAGGGGCTGCCTTTCTTTCCCTCTTGATGCCACAGAGTAGCTGCCGGCTCTTGCAATGGCTAACTCTGGACTAGGCTTGGTAGAAACAGCTCTGCAGGATGAACCAGGAGACTGTCTTGGATCCCTCCTCCTCCCAGGAACGATTCCATGGGGAGAGGGGACAATCTGGCCCTGCCCCGACAGCCTGGAGAGTCTCGCCTCATCCCAGAAGCTCCAGGCCATCCTAATCTCGGAAGGTCAGGTCTATTAAAGGCCAAAGTGAAAGCGCTTAGATACGTGACTTTTCTTTCAAATTTTCTTTTTTTATACAAATGGTATACTTCACATGTACTATACATTTATTGCTCAAGATTAGGAAAAAAGTCAAAAGAGGAAAATAAGACGAGTATTAACATCTTGGGATACATCTTCGGATTGTTTTCTATGCTCATATCCTTGTTTATTTTCTTATAAGCCGAATATGTTCTTCTGGCAAATGTCTTTTTTACTTAATATATTGCAACCTCCCCTGTAGGTATTTAAATATTCTTTCACATTATTTCTTTTAGTAGCTTAGTTTTTCACTAAATGGCTGTACCATGTTTATTTATCATCTCCTTACTGAGGGACATTTAAATAGAGTCTAATTTTTCAGTTAATAAAGTGTTTTGGGAGATATCCTTGTAGCTAAATCTCGATGTGGTTTTACTTATATTCTTCAGATAAATTCCAAGAAGTGAAATTGCTGGGTCCAAAGGCACTTATATTTTTAAAGCTTTTGATTCATGTTGCCAGATCACCCTCTGGAAAGTGTCGACCATTTCACAAATGTCGGTACTGAAGAAGAGTATTCGTGTCTCTGTATTGTCTTCTACACGGTTATGATTTTCTTTGCTTACTTGAAAAGGAAAATGGTATTTCACTACTGGTAGAATTGCATTTCTTTCATTATCAATGGGGTCGATGTCTTTTCCTTTGTATTTACTCTATTGTGAAGCTTTAGTTCCATAGCTTTGCTCATTTTACAGACCTGTAGATCAGGAATAATTTTCTTAAAGATTTTTAAGAGCCTTTCTTGTGTCAGGTTGGTAATCTGTGGCTGATTACATATGTTGCAAATACTTTTGTCCACTTACTATTTGAATTTTTTATGGATTTGTTCTACATAAATCCATTCAAAGTTCTATTTAATCAAATCGAACGGTCTTTGCCTTTATGGATTCTACTTTTGGTGTGATTCTTAAAGGATATTGCCACCTAAGTAAGGTTAGATTTCCAAGTTCTAGTACTGGAATTTATGTGGTTAAATGTATGAGGTATGATTTATTTTTTCATTTCCAAATGTTTAAGCCCACTGTTTTAAAACCACTTATTAACTAATTCATTCTTTCTTCAATGGTTTGGAAATGACATTTTAATCATATATTAGAGACAGTCTCTCTCTCTCTCTCTCTCTCTCTCTCTCTCTCTCTTCTCTCTCTCTCTCTCTCTCTCTCCCTTACACACACACACAACACACACACGCGCACACACATACACACACACACACAGAAGAATCTATTTCTGGACCACATTACAATATTATTTTAGCTTATAACAACATTTTAATAACTGGCAGAGTTACTCTTCCTTTAAAATTTTTTTCTTGGCTTTCTTACATGTTAATTCTTCTAGATCAGAGGTTCTTATTTAAGGGCATGCATCGGAATTTCTAGTGGAGTGTTCTAAAAACACAGATGGCTGGTTTCCACCTCCAACATAGAAAATCAAAACCTCTAGGGTGCGAGCTAAGCATTAATGTATTTGCCAAAGTGCAAAAGGGTTAAGAACCACGACTCTGGATGAACTTCAGAATAAGCTTCTGAGAGTAAAGGCCAGATCTGCCTGGTTACTGTTTATTCCCAGACCCGGTGTCTGCCACACAGGTGGCATTTAATCACTATTAATTAATGTTTATTTGTAACCAGCACCCTTACTTTGAACTTGGACTCCCAAAGATCATTTATGTTAGGGAAAGTGAGCAAACAGTCCAGCCTAGTGAGTTATGTGTGAAGAGGATGCTATGCCCAATATCAGAAGGGTGGACCTAAGGAAGAGGGAGCCGATGCAACCTAGGTTTCTCTAGGACGCAGAACAAGGAAGGAAGTGTTGGGGACACCTAAGAGGCTATTAGGAGGGGTCAGATATATCAAAATAGTAGGTACCATTGCTCGAGTGGGTTGGCCACTTCCCCACCACTAGGGGCATATAGACAAAAGGTGTGTCATTATCTTGTGCAGAGTGATTTAGAGAAGATTCTTGCATTAAGGATTTGAGAGCTGGTAGTCTCTATGATCTCTTCCGGCATGGAGATTTTGATTCTTAAGAATATTTATTTTTAAATATTCTGTTTGTGAGTTCTGTGATCAAAGAGATGAAAAGGTTCTGGGACCTTTCTTGTTGGTGAGAAAAATTCAGACTAAGCCCAGAGGTCTCCATGTAGAGAGATCCCTATTGAAGTTATTTTGACCTGGGGAACGTGGGGTCTTAACCATGTCACATTCCAATACCTGCTATGGTCCTAAAAAAACTCACCCTTGCCATGCGATGTTTCGATAATCCAGGTGCAGTTCAAGTTGTTGGGGTAGAAGTCAGGAAACCCTGGTGACAAGATGGTCCCACTGGAGCCTTGAATGAAGCCACCGCAGAGTGCTACAGATAGAGTGAAGAGGGCAGTGAAAGCCATTCCAGTGAAAGACTGGAATGGCTCAAGGAGCTCCCCCCACAATCCTCCTGAGAGCCTGTCCCCCGTCTCCTCTCAAACCCACAACCCTCATGGATGATGAGAGAGTCAGTGCCCCTTCTAGCTCCTGGTTTTTCATGGCGGGAAAGGAATCTGATACTTTAGTTCCCCCTTATAGTGTCCCTCACCTTCACAGCTGGGCAGGGCCCGGCTCCACTGGAAGTTGGGCTCACACTCCAGGGGCTCCCCGTCACTTAATGTGTAGCCCGAGTCGCAGCTGAAGGTCACCAGAGCTCCCACATAGAAGTCATTCCCGTGACGTTGCCCATTTACGGGGATTCCTGGGTCCAGACAGTGGTCTGACTGCAGAGTTATAGCTGGAAAAGAGAGCCCACAGCTGGAACAGACAGCTCGACCATCACCATAGAGGGACCCCAGCTGACTCACAAAGGGAGGGAGGAGAGGATCCTGCTTTACAGAAGGCTGAAGTTGCCATTTACCCACTCATTGAATGGGGCTGTCAAGATCTGCTGAGAGGGTATTTGAAGACCTATCAGAGAAAACAAGTTTGCGCTATCATTTCTTTGTTCATTCATTCATCCATTCAATAAACGTAAGTTGAATGTCCACTGTGGCTTAGACACTGTGCTAAGGCTTATAGACACAAACATAGGTAAGAAAATGACCTTGTCCTAATGGTGCTCTCAACCATAACTTTCTACAGCGGTCTGCAAAGAATTGAATTGACATCAATCTCTTTTGATTAAATCGAGGCACTAGCAATGAATGCAGAAAGTGATGAAGAGGCTGAGCAAGTGAGAGATGCCATCTCATTTTAAGTTCATGATCTGTCAAATACTCTGTCCCCGGAGTGCCCAGCACAGCAGCACCCGATCATCTGCACACAGACGGGGCCTTGTGGTATGTACACGAGGAGCCAGTGTGCAGGCCATCAGCTTTCATTGCTTCTAAAGTTTCAGTTCTAAAGGTTCTTTTAGAAAGAGACTTTCATTACTTCTAGAGGTTGAGCTCTGAGAGATGCTGAGAGCAAGGGAGGGTCTCCTAAGAAGCACAGCCTAATTGAGAATGCCACGGGGATAGCAGGGCCGAGCTGGGGCAGACCAGTGGACCACAGGCCAGGGTCCCGTCACCCATCAGCCACCCTGAGACTCACTCTCATAGCGGAGCTGGAAGCCGATGTCCGAGTGACTCTTGTCAGTGGAGAAGAGGAGATAGAGGTAGTTGCTGGTGCTGATGAGGAACTGGGGGACTTGGGTCCCATGGTAAACCCCAATCAAGGGTGCCGAGTATGTCCGTCCATCGCGCACTTCCAGAGTGTCGTAGTTGACCTCGGTTTTAAATCTGCCAACAATGGAGACGAAGACTTCTTGAGAAACCCAAAGTTTATTAATTGGCAAATGACAAAAGGCCCTGTCTGACCCAGGGCATCAGAACATTCAGATTTTGGCAGGCTGGGACATTTTAATATAATTTGCATACATTCACTAGGGATGTGAAAGGACCGTCATCTCTACTGTATTTAACCCTTCCTCTCCCTCCCATGGTGGACGCAGTTCTCTCAATCCTCTCTGTGGCCTGGGCCATGACCCATCTTAAGACCGAGAGGCACAGTGACTAGCCTCACGGGGTCAGAATGTTCTAGACTGGGATCAGCTAACTACAGCCCAGAACCAAATCTGATTGATAGCATGTTTTTGTATGGCCTGAAAGCTAAAAAATAGTTCTTACATTTATAAAGGGGTATTTTTTTTAAAGCAAAAAATACATAATAGAGATTCACAGTGGTCCACAAAACCTAAAATATTTATTTACGGCCCTTCACAGAAAAGTGTGTGGACTGCTAACCTAGGCCATGATGCTTCGTCTAGAAGTTTGTGTTCATATTTGGGTGGTTTCTTTCCTCACCCAAGGGGCATAATTAGGGTGGGAGCTGGAAGTGGGGCATAGGAGCAGGATTCAGGTCAGAGGTCAGAAAGATTGCCTTTCCATATTAGAAATTTCATGGTTATGCTCTGCAGACGCCAATGCCTCCTTTGACATCTCAGTGTCTACCTGCCCACTCTCCTTCCTGGGAGGTGAGAGAGAGAAGCGCTCTGACGTCCCTGAGGCTTTTCCTTATCCTCTCCAGTCATGGTCTGCTATACAGCACAAACCCCACTACTGAAGTGGAACCAAGGCCAAGGCCAGTGCCATCTGCCCCGCCCAGGGCAGTCCGCTCCAGTGTTCCATGACTTCGCTGACGTTTCAGCGTCAGTGCTGGTTCCCCACCCACCTCAGGTCCCCTCCCATACCCCTCAGTAGAGATCACCTCTTACCCCCACCCCTCCCCAAAGATCTGATTACAAGCACCTGTCGAAGGTGATTTTGATGGGGTAGCCTGGCTGGGCTTCAATCACCCAGGCACAGCTCAGGGCATCTTTGTAGAAGCCAGGCCAGCCTGGAGACAGGATGGTGCCACTAGGTGAAGTCAGATGACCACCGCAGGGAGCTAGGGGGACAGAAGGGAGAGAAGCAGCTCTCTTGAGGAGGTTAATGAACAAACAAACCAAAAAAACCTCTCTATAAAATGTGTCCACCAACAAGTATTGGTTTTGTTTTTTTATAGAAGATTACATAAACTATATAAACCATGAGTTTTGTCTACTGGGACCCTTACGAATATGTTCAATTGCATCATTTGGAGTTTTATTAAGGGTCAGAGGGGAGAAATAAGAAGAATCCTTTACACAAAGTCCTTTGCCATTATAGAAGGGCTGAAATACAGCTAATATTTGCGTCAAATTGGTTTTCTCTTTGTTCTTCACTCAGTTACCAGGCCTGTGTCAGAGGCAGAGACCTGGCTCACTTCCCCGCACCTAGCACCCTGCGCTTTGGTGCTGGAGAGTGGGCACAGCCCCAATGCTCAGCTTGCAGCACCAGCACAACCTGCTCCACTGCAAGCTCCGTGAGGCCAGGGATCCTATTATTTGTCTTAACAGGGGAAGATCCCCAGCATTTAGCTTAGAGTTTGGCACACAGTTGTCCCTCGGTGCCCAAAATCGGTGATTATTGTTTGGATGAATCAATGAATGGATAGAAGGGTGAATGAATGCAGTCCATGTTGGTGATTCCACCAGACACTGGGTGGTCTAGGCATACCTCTGACCTCGCCAAGCCTGTTATCTCAGTCCCTTGGCCTCTCTGCCCGATCTTCCCATCCCTCAGCTTCCCATTCTCACCCACGTGTTTCTCATCACTCTCGCCTCTTCCTGCAACAAGACCCTTGGCCCCTGCAGTGGTGACAATAGTCTTCCAGTCCTCCTGCAGGGTACCGTGGTCGATTCAGTGTCCATTCCTTTACAAGTTATGCTAGGCCGTGTGACTGCCTTGACTGATAAAATGAGAGCAGAAGTGATGCGTGTCATGCCCATGTGGAAACTTTAAAAGCCAGTGCATGATCTGCAAAATTTCCTGCCTTAGTGATTGTTGAAGAAGAATGAGGATGGAAGTCTCGTCTGCCTGGGTCTTTAAGTGACTCCGAAGAGCACAGTCACTGATGACTGTGTTAGACATGTAGCCTGAATAGTCTGCGTGAGACATAAACTCCTGTTTTTAAGCCACTACGATTTGGGGGCTGCTTGTTAATACAGTGTAACCCAGGCCACCCGGACTAATACAGTTCTCTCTTCCAGACCATCGGTGAGAATGTCGATGACAACCACCTCCAGTGCTGCTGACACTATGTTGCCTGCCACCACGGCCAGGGGCTGAGAGCCCATCCATGCAAGGCATTTAGTTTCACATGGATAATCATTTTTACTCCTCACAAAACAAAACCTCTGCACTGTTATTCTCTCCATTGTATAGTTTAAAAAACTGAGGCTTATAGAGGTTAAGTAATCAGCCCTAAGTTAGCAAGTGGTAGCGCCTGGATTCATAGCTAGGAAGATGGCATAAACCTGGAGATCTTAAGCTAACCAGCCTCCCCATTTAGAGGAACCCCTGCTTCCTTTGGACTCCCGTATTATGGGGGTACCAGATGCCAAAAATGCCCTGAACAGAACCAGGAAGGACATATACGGTTACAGCACTTCTATCTCTGCAAATGTTTGTAAATTCTTCCTGGCAATCAGTTTTATGAAATACAGCCAAACGCAACATATCTTTTCTCTTTCAATTCTATAAACTTCTTGAAAATAACTATAATAATTGTTAGGCATTCTTCATAGAAAGCTACATTAGGAATTCAAATTAACAAATATGGTAAAAATAATGATGATGATGATGATCGCAGACAACTCACACTGATGACATGACACTGACAGCTTTATTATCCCCATTTTACAGAGGAGAAAACTAAGGCTAAATAGGCCAAGAGATCAGATCAAGAGCTAATAGAGTTAGAGTTAAATTTAACCTCAAGACCTCTGCCTCTAAATCCCCTGTAGCACATAATAGTTCTACAACCATGGCTGACAGTAATGAGCTCAGGGGTATTGAGAGCTTACTACGTATCAGGGCTTATGGATTATCCTTGTGACAATTGCAGTACTAAAAGGCAGATACTGTTATTATCCTCATTTTATAGGCAGGGATTATTATCTATTTTCAGTAAGCTGAGGCTTGGAGAAACTAAGTAATTACATAGAACCCTTATCAAACACTGAGAGTAAATTGTATATGGGTATTACCACATCCTGGATAAGCCTATCCATCCATCTCACTGAAACTACTAAAGCGTTCCTCTTTTTCTCCAATGGACATGTGAGACCTTGGAGATGGAGAGGGGTGTGCCTATTGCTAGGTTCCTGGTCCCCATGTGGGCACTGAGTCTCAGCAGAGGTAGGTTCTCACTCATGGCTGCAATTCAACACAGACCCAGCCTCTTCAGTTGCTGGACTATGATCTCCTCACTCATTTTCCAAGAAGCCACAGATCACGCAGTCACTTGTTTGCCTTGGCTACTCTCTATTCAGTGCATATATATCAACAAAACCTTATCTAAAATCTCCAGAGATGGACACCCAAATCCTGCCTTCGTGGGTCGCCATTTTGTTTTCTTTCTCTGCTGTACTGTTTTATGACCTTGGCTCGTTCATCTCTTCTCTTGCTCATGTGATAGTCAAACAACCTCTCTATTCATTCGGTCCTTCACTCTCTTTCTCGTTCATCTTCATATTCCAAGGTGGAGCCTGCCAGGTAGGGAGAGGAGGGCAGGACTTCTAAATGCAATGTCTCTTTAACATTTGAAAAGATGCTCGACTTCACTCTTACTAAGGAAATACATATTAAAACTACAACGAGAAATGACTTCTCATCCATCAGATAGGAAAAACCCAAAGGTTGATGACATGTGAGTAAAACCAGGTGTTCCAGTACCTTGCTGGCGGCAATGCACAATGACACAACCCATATGAAGGGAAATTTGGCCCAGCAAAATTCACATGCATTTTACTCTCTGACCCAGCAATTCTACTTCTAGATTTCTATCCCCAAAATATACTGGCAAAGATAGGGAAATACATATTTATGTCCAAGGCTATACAAGGCAACACTATTTGTAACAGCGAAAGAACAGAAACGGCCAAATGTTCAGCAATGGGGAGCTGACTGAATGAACCGAGGGAATCAACAGAATAGACTGTGTACGCAGCTAAAAAACAAAAATGAGGAATAGTCCACATAATGTCAGGGAGGAGTCCTCGGAATATGTTATTAAGTGAATAAAAGCAAGGCACAGAGGTAAAAGTAAGGCTACAGTCTGATTCCATTGATCTACGCACATGTGTGAGAGGCACTCCATATATATTTAATCACATTCATAATCAGTGAAAGAATAAACCAAAAACTCGAGATGACCTATGGGAAGAGGGAGAAAAGAAGGTAGAGGATAGGCATAGAAACTGGACTCTCTCAGAACATACCTTCTTTTAGAGGTATACCTTTGGGAATATGTAAATATTTTCGACACTCAAAAAAAAGATTTAAATTGATAAGCCACTTCTCAAAACTCAAAAGCAGAGGAAATAAATGAATACAATACTGTATCAGTTGGTGGCATAATCGCACTTGAAGAAACTAGTTAAAGAGATTTTAAAACACTGTAATTTGATAGCACATCCCTCGTAGGAGATGGGGACAAGAAGAATGGAAAGAAATACAATTTAAACTCTTTTCAGTAATCATATTGCTGCTGGTATTAGGGAAAAAGAAAAAGGAAAAAGTGCTCTTACATTTGAAATAAAATGAACCCATGATGCATTTTATCTTCAAAAAACTATCCCTTAGTGCTGTTCATTGAAAAGACTTAGAAACAAGGACCGACTCAACAGTAATAAGTACCTCTAATGCCCAGATACTAAATATCATTTTTCACTTAAAAAAAGCCAGGCTCCTTGGAGAAATAGTTGATTCTTGGTCAAGGACAGAAAATGTACAAGATGAAGTTGGGCCAATTTCAAAATGATTCCACTGGCTAATGGAACAATTTGAGCATTGATTAGAGTAATATCTGCAATGGATTTAAATACATAAAATATGTTTAAATCCACTGGACTGTAATGATCTTTAAAAATGCTCAACTTCGGATGATGTTAAGGAATCAACTCATTAATAAGAAAAACTGGCAAATAAAGGAAAATAAGTATTTCTCCTGCTTTTCTGCTATGAACTATTCCTCAGGGTAACCAAATAGTTGATGTGGATGAGTTTTCTTTACGTGTTCCATCTTATAAAAGAAGAAATGATAGCAATCTGTAGGTTATGATCATCGATTTCTCCTAACGTCCTCAAAGGAGACAACCAGACATTAAGTGCCTCTGATGGAGGCACACGGCCTTGCCTATATGATATTTTGGCCAAAATATGGAACCCAAAACTCATTAGCTTTCTAGATCTTACTGCCAATTAAAGGAAATATAAGAGAGAAGATCAAACAACCTCCTAGGGATGTGATCGCCAAAATCTGGGGATTCCTCAGGATAAACGACCTGGCCTCTTTAACAAATATAATTGTAAGGGGTCAGGATAGACATTGAAAAAGACTTGAGACATAATAAGAGCCAACGGTAATGTGCGAACCTAACTAGGATTCTGATTTTTTAAAAAATACTATGAAAGAAAGCATTAGAGAATCTTGGAAATTTGATTAAAATAATTAAGAAATTATTTTTATTTTTTAAGATAACAGTATTGTGGTTATGTTTATAAAGAGTTCTTTTTATCTGTTAGGGATGCACGCTAAAATGCTGTGGATGAAATATTTTGCCTGAAATGTGCTTCACAATAATCTCAGAGCAGAGTGGTAGTGAGTGGGGGTATAAAATGAAACAAAATAGGCCATGAACTTATATTCGTTGAAGTTGGGTGATGGGTACATGGGGGTTCATTATACTATTCTCTCTGTTTTCAATTTTCCATGAAAAATGTTAGAGTAAATAAAAGAAGTAAAAGCAGTGACTCAAACAGATATTTGTACAGCCATGTTCATAACAGCATTATTCACAATAA